TTATTATAAAGTGAACTGGTTACTTACATTTTACATTGTTGAGACTAGGAGAGTACAGTACAATCAGTTGTACAGAATCTGGGACTCAGTGTAGGCATTATAGTAGTTGATTAGAGAGACAAGTGTAGCAAAGTTTATTGTCAATATTATTAAAGACAGGGTAGCAGCTAGTAGAACACATGTAAGAGGAGAAAGACTAGAGACTTAGAGAGAACAAAAGTAACAACATAGTAGTACAGTAGAGAGTTAGACTTAGAGAGGTGGTAGAGGTTGAAGAGAAAGAGTAGTACACATAAGTACATTATTATATACTCTCAATCTTCAGCTGTTGATTACATAAGCAAGTTAGGTATTAGTTGCCCAAGATAATCTAAGTATAATGTACATATTATATACTTATAGTATACTTTTATTAAGATAATAGGGATACAACAAGTGCTCTTACACTATTATATACATTAATATACCTTTTACATAAATTATAAGATAACAATAGTTATTATTACATTATTATATTATAAATATAACTCTTTTTTTAAGATTATAATTTAAATGTAATACAAGTATAATACTTTAGGTTATCATACAAAGTTAGTATAATACATGTAATAGATTTTATTCATCCTTAGTACTTATGTAGTCTTTATATACATTAATATGTCTTATTTAAACATTACAATTCATTTACAAACCTTACAATTACTTTACAATGTATATACAATACACATGTTACTTTACAAAGTCTATAAGAAATTACAAGAAATGTAACATTTTCCTGATACAGTTTCAATACAAACATAACCAAAGTTAAAAAAGGTAAGGTCAAGAATAATGTAATCCTAACTGTAGAGAACACTAAGCCTAAGTCTAAGGGCATTTTCAGTAGGAAAGAAGACAAAGAGTATTGTACAGCTAGAGAGGGGAGACACATATATCCAGGAAAATAATGTTGTTAGGAGTTGTAACACATGAAATTGTATTTTTGTTTACTGCAAATAAGATTGATAGTATTTCTTGCTGTATTAGGGTAGAAAGGCAGGAGTGACACTTTATGACACAGACACACTCATACATGTTGAAGATTCAGGTAGCTGGAGATTGGAAATTGAATAAATTGTTATATAGCTATGAAGTCTCTTGTATAATAAAGTTTTGTATTGAAATGCTAAAAGTGATAGAGTGTATCAAATAGTACCATGATTCCCAACTGTAATAACACAAACTATTTTAATATATATCTTTATCATGTCAAGTTTCAATGTAGTTTTTTCGTTTCATTCTGCTACTCTGATGTGTCCATGTGGTACTTTTAGCTCCAGACTAATACTATAACTACCCAAACTCTGTGAGCTTATATGTAGTAACAATTTTTGATTGCATGACAAAATTTTATGTACACACTCCTGAAGGTCTTACATTTGCATAGTTGAATTTGATGGGTAATGAGGAGTTGAAAAAGTTGTTCTTTGCATGACAACAGCAATTCCTTTATTTATCAAGCAGCATACATATGTTTGCCTCGAGTCAATGGTGTTTCGAGTATCGAAATTGATTTCTGATTCGTTGGCTCTTTGCGAGAGAAATGTAGAATCGGACACAATCACGGAAACCTCCGCCTCAGCTCTCATCGCAAAGTGAAACAGACTATGACAACAATTTATCCTTAAACGGACCAAAACATACAATCATCTTGGAAAGCTTTGTCAGGACCTCAAGACATAATACACTGTGCACTTTCCTTTTCCACAAATGGTGCATAGTACTCGTACAAAACAGGAAAGAGTAATTGGATGACCAAGCCCTCAGCATAAATGTTTTGATCCGCACCATCAAATTTTAGTTGATGTTTCTGACATACAATGTAGAACACGGAATATATAAGATTGATGTGGATTGGCCTTTTGTCGCGCACTCATTATCGACTACGTCGAAATACAAAACCTGCAAGCACAAAGGAATTGTTAAGCTTCTCTACGCTAACGAGCATGTCAAAGATGCAGGGATGGGGCGCAACAACGCACCTTAATCTAGCTGAGTTGACAGGGGCTCTGTCCCTATCAGAAGAGCCGGAGTCCTATGCGGATGACCTAGAGGGGGAGTCCTATGTCAGATCGACTAGTACTCCCTCGCAAAATGAGGGAGTTTATCTCAAATCTAGGGGCAAGAAGAAAAAAGAGAAACAAGAAGACCCCGCCAAAGTAAACATGCAGAAAAATATACATCGGTCTAGCTCATCGTATGAGCCAGAGCTGGAGGATCCTCCTGCAGAATCGTTACCTCAGATTCGTAAGAGGTCAACAAGGTCGTCGACTGGAGGGAGCAACAGAGTCGGTTTCAAAGCAAGCGTGACTAGGTACAGTGAAACAGGCCAGCCCGAGGATGACGTCATCAATACCGAGAAGAATAAACATCCTAAACGTAAGACCGGGATTCGCAGAAAGCCTAGTAAAGAGTACCGTGCAGCACAAGAGAAGACACCCATTTATCCAGGAAAATGATAATACCAAGAATCGAAAAGATATGAATGCTGTATCTTTACTTGCTACGAACGAGAGTTGAAACTTGATACTGTTTATTGTTGTGATAGAGCGAAAAGGCAGGTGACGAAGTCACAATAGGCGTGGTCAAACCTTGCGATTCTCTGTGCGATTCACCTTGCGATTCTAGAGGGTGAATCACAAGGTGAATCGCACGTGCAGGTTTGACCAGCACACTTGTACATGTGCAATTCACCTCAATATACCAACCCTTGATCTTAAAATTACATAATATAAAATTAAAGAAATAGTTTTTTTTCGTGCATATACATTTGGCCATGTCAAGAAGGACTTGATATGTGTGCAGTGATGTGTAAGAAGACAACAGAGCTTGGTAGCAGAGAACACAAGGATTTTTTGCAGAACAGAGGACAGTATGTATGCTGTAGTGCTCACAAGGAAGAGGCAAATCATCTTATTGTTTTTGGAATTTAGAGGTGAAAAGAAGCTTAGTTTTATTTTTGTAATACATGTACATATTTGGAAATAGATATGAGTAGAGGTGAATCGTGGGGTGAATTGCAAGGCGAATTGTGTCAAAGTGCGATTCACCTTTCAGTGCAATTCACCCCGAATCGCTGGGGTTCTGGGGTCCGCGATTCACTTTGCATGAAAGTGAATTGTGCAGGTGAATCATGCACTGAATCGCAAGGTTTGACCACGCCTAATATATGATGACAGTGAGAAAATGTGTAAATAAATGGTTACATAAGATTCAGAACTGTAAGGATTGACATCGAAAAGATGGACTGATCTTAACACCTCTAGAAAAAAAGGGTAAGTATTTTGTGGGCAATTTTCATATGTATTTCAGAAAGTAGTAAATGTACATTGGACCTTTGTGTTATGGATCCAGCATTTACATAAATACATAAACATCTCATAGCATTATTACTGTGTTTCACTGGTTTGTGCTCAGTTACCAGTTAACGCTCAGTTGTACAATACCCCCCTCAATTCTTAGTAAAATTTCTTGAAATTTTACATACAGGTAGCCTACAGTAGATATAACTTAAATACGAAATTTGAGCAAAAAACAATGAGTTGAAGCTGAGATATTAGTGTTGGAATGTTAGAATTTTGATGATCAGTACTGATTTAGTGAACAGAAAGTTTTCCCACACACAACACATTTAATATTAATTTAAGGAGACACTATTTGTAGCTGAAATTTTTAGAATAAGTACTATATTATATGTAGTCACTATGTATTTTTATATATAATTAATAGTTAAGTATTAAGCTACTTATTAAGAATACGATTTTAAGTCCGATTTTACTATTTTCTATAATACAGAATTTATAGTTATAACTTACGAATTTTTTATTACAATAATTACTATTATAACTATATATAAAAATTTGGTACTAGTATTCTTTACATATTTTCTATAATATTCTATAATTTTAAGAGAAAATACTAAGAATTAAAATTATCATAATTAAATCAAAACTATATATATAAAAAGTACTATAATCTACTATATTACTTATTAGTACAATTTTTATAGTTAAAAAAAATTGTAAAACATATGTATGTTAGAGGTTATATGTTTCAGTATTAAGTGATCACCATAGCAACTGGCATAGTACAGAAAAAAAAGAAGAG